TTCTTTAGCCCAAATTTTTCCCCAAAAAGAGACAGAAAGGGAAAAAAAAGTCAGATCAAAAACTCTGGATTGATAGGTACATGTGTAAGTGTGTGTACATACACACACACACACACACACACGTGGAAATCTCTGGAAACTTCCTGCCATACATATTGCCACAAAGCAGACTAGCTTATTCTATTTCAAACTGAAAGTAAACTTTGAAGCATATTTTCACTTCTCTTGGAGCACAAGATGAGAATTCCACATCCCACCTTTCCTCTTAGGAAGAGGACCTGAGAATACATTCTCTACGAAGACAGAGTTCAAGAAACAATTCTGTGTTTACTCATTTAAATCTTGTAAATATATCCAGAAATAATAGTATGTTTTAATGTAATTTTCAAATTTAAAAAATGCCTCTTTCCTTGAATTACTTCTTGTCACAAAATTTCGACTATGCGGGAATATGATTAAAAGCATTTGCAGTGAAGCCATTTAGCTAAAAATGAAAAAGGTATTAAGGCTCAAGCCACCAGCAGCTACAATACAAGGAATGTACTTAGTGCATGCCTACCGTCCACTCACTCACACTTCAGCCATAGGCTGACAATTCAGCTCTCCAGAGAGGTAATTGTCCTTGATAGAGATAAGGCATTATAGCAACACTGAAGAGGATATTATTTCTCAAGTTTGTCCGTCTTAGGAAAACCAAAATTACGGACAGAGGAGTTTGTTATTCCTTTATTCGATCATTCATTCACTTTGTCAACACATACTTGTTGGCACTGAGCTGGAGCAAAGCACAGTTCTAGGCACCAGGATACGGCACTGAAAAGACAGGACTCCTCTCCTAAGGTCAGAGGAGATGAGATGCTAGAACAACATACCAGTTTATTTCAGAGAGCAGTGCGCGCTCTGAAGACCACACACAGGGCAAGGGACTAGAGAATGATAAGAAAATCAGGCAGTGGATGGGGAGTGTTTTACTTTCATGGAAGTCCATTTTGGGGAAGCAGTACTAGTCCTGCAGTTGAAATAGTGGGAGGGAGCCAGCCAAGTGCAGATCTGGGGGAGAGGGAAGGGAAGAACAGGGCGAAGGTGTGAGAAAGGAAAGAATCTGGTGTGCCTCAAGAACAGAGGGAAGACCAGCGCGGTCAGGCCAAGTGGGCCCAGCTGAACAGAGAGGCTTGAGGTAAGGATGAAGGTAGGCAACAGCTCCCGTAGGTCTTGATACCTCGATCAGGAGATTGGACTTTAAGTGTAAAGAGTTTGGTCTGAAGGGTTCTAGGCCAAAAAGCTAAGTAACTTGATTTATGTTTTAAAAAGATGTTTTGAGGGCGCCTGGGTGGCTCAGTTGGTTAAGCCACTGCCTTCGGCTCAGGTCATGATCCTGGAGTCCCGGGATCGAGTCCCACATCGGGCTCCCTGCTCACCGGGGAGTCTGCTTCTCCCTCTGACCCTCCTCCCTCTCATGCTCTCTGTCTCTCATTCTCTCTCTCTCAAATAAATAAATAATAAAAAATCTTAAAAAAAAAAAAAGATGTTTTGACTTCCTTCTAGAGGACAGAATGTCAAGGGAAGAGCAAGAGAGCAGGAGGGATGTTAGGAGGCTCATGTATTTATTATTTTTTTACAGTAATGGCTTTAAACAGAGGCTGTGGAGATACAGATCAAAGTGTGGATTAGGGATGTATTTTGGAAGTACACTCAACAAAACCCGTGCATGGATTGGAGATAGGCATGACAGAGGAATAACATTTGACTTCTACCTTCTGTTCTGAGCAACACAGTGGAAGATGCCATTTGATATGAGATGGAGTAGGCCTGATTAACGAGCTTCGGGGGAAAAATCAGTCATTCTGTTTGAGACACGTGCATGTAATAGTCTGTTAGAATCACCCCTTAAAATCATAATCAGCAGCGTCATCATATGTTTGCATGGGACTGTCCATCAAGTCATTCCCAGAAGTCTCGAGATGTGGAAGCAATGATGTGAATTTACGAAAGAGATCCCGAGAGTATATGTGAAGATATGGCAGAGTGAGATGATGTAAGGGACCAAGCGAGGTTCAGGGGAGTAGGACAGAGAAAGCCAGGGGAGCGGTGTGTCATGGAAATTAAGAAGATTAAGAACAATGAGAATGTATCATGGGTCTTTAACTCTTGAAAAAAATATAGAGCTTTTATTTTATTTATTTTATTTTATTAACTACCATTCTATGTTGTCACAATGTAAAGGACAGGAATGCCTCAGGTGTCATAAATCACTGGGACAAGTCAGTTTTGTGTCTTGGACTCCAGCTGGAATTAGAAGGGGGGGGTCTGTGTAGGGCCTGTCTACGGTCATGATAACTGTTTACCTTTTCTTTGGCCAAGAGGTAATATTTGTGAGTATGGGTCTCTATTCCAGCCACAGGGACTGATACAGTGTCCGCCAAATTAATAGTTGTTGAGTGAATAAATGCATACGTTTGGGAGCTTGGCCTGCCTTTCGTGGATTTTTTATAAAAGGTTTCCTTAACTCAGAACGTCACTCAGTTTATTCTCAAGACTTCACAAAGACCTGCGCTAAAATAATCCAGACGCATCTCCTCCCCTAACCCAGTTGTAAATGTTTGTGGATGAGCTATCACGGACAACATCCCAGAATGAAGCATCCCACTGAACCACCCCACCTTTTGACTTATCACAGGGAAGCAGCAAAAAGCCATCAAACACACAGGAGATACCACAGACACGTTTGAGAAGGGATGCTGCGGATGTCTAAGATTTATTATCACGATCCACTTGGCTCTGGACTTTTAACATTTTAAACAAACTCAGACAGAGCCGAGTTGGTTTAAACCCTCTGCAGACAGCTTATAGGTGAGCTGCAGGCACAGACAGATGGGACACCGGAGAGAGGAAGCTGCACAAATGCCAAGTGGCCAGAGCACTGGCCAACCTGGACACCTTCTGCTGGGTACTTTTGTTTACTAATCTCCTGTTCTTGGCAGCTCCTTCGGTGTGGTCACACGGCTTCTCCACAAGGGGCTGCTTAATTGCTGCCAGTGGAGAGTTTGACCCTTTTCATCCAGATGGCTCAAATCTCTCCAGCACCGACGATCCTGACACTCTCCCGGATGAAGCCCAGTTGCCTCATTACTTCTGAACAGGACCCCTTTAAAGAACTCCCCAATGATTACCACCTTGGAAAAGTGAACTCTCCAGCAAAGGAAAACAAAGGAAAAAAGAGGGTGGGAAGACAGCGAGCAGTGTTGGGTGTCCCACCCTTATCCCCTTTCATTTCTGGAATATGCACGTATTTATTTATAACTCAACATTCAAACTAATTATTAGCTGAAGGCTTTCAAGTAAAAATGTAGGTCAAGCAATATTAGATGGGGTAATGGCAATTGTTTCAGCTTCAGGGAACATGTAAGTAATTGAAACTCACTATTTTACTGACTTGTTACAAGCCAACATCCACCCTATTAGCCATTGAGCACGTGCTCCCAGACCACCCTCAAATTGACTGGCTTCTAGATTCCTGTGCTGAGGAGGGGCTGGGTGTAGAGTGCGGACTTTGCAGGTTCGTAGAGCCAGGTACTCTACCCCTACCCCCTTTCAGAGCACGTACAGGTGCCACTAGAACTCCCCCTCTTCCTCCATCTCAAAAATATCTTTAAGAAAAGGAAAAAGAGCTGGGTATGGTGGACACGGGCTCAAAGCCTGTGGCACCCGGCATGAAGCAATCGGCTCAGCACTCAGTGGCCAGCCCATGAAGGCTGTGTGAGGACAGAAGGCTGCAGGGCCGGCCAGCCAACCAGAGAAAAGTCAAACCACCCATCACCACCCCCCGCCCCCCACACACACCTAGGTGCTAGAGGAGTCAACCCGTGATAATTAGGGACAATTAACCATGTGATCAGGCTGCTGCAGGCCCCTTAGCCTTGTACTGAGCCTGCAAACTTAGGATGAAAGCTTCTCTGCTGGATCCTTTGGCTTGTTTCTTCTTGTTTTGTTTTATTACCTTCCACTCTTCTTTCTTAACAAGGCCTTCCACCTGCTCCTCTCTGCTGCTCTTCCTTCTCCCCCCACTTCCTCACGATCTGGTTGTTACTCTGCTCCTTTCCCTTTCTCTTCGTTTTCCCTGCTTTTTTCCTAAGAGATAATTGTTAATAGTTCTTTTCTGCACTAATACAAATGGGTTTCTGGTCTAACAGTACATATTAAATTAATAAGCAGACACATTTATTTATTCTGAACTTATAGCATCTCCCTCCCTTGGGAGTTTCTATGTTCCAAGTTGCCATTCATCCTCACTAAATGGGGTGAATCTTCAAGAAATTGCATTACATCTTAAACTCTGCTCAGACCTCTGGTCCCAAATCATGCTCCTTCCACTGCGCTGGCTTAGAGCCTTGGCTGACTCCTGCCAGGCGCTGCAGTTGGGAAGGTGAGAGGAATCTGGGTCAGACTGGGGGGTGACCTGACCATGGAGAAACTGGAGGGATTTTTCATGGTGAGAGGAGGAGAGACACAAGTAAACCACCACAGTGAGGCTTCCTCATGTGACTTCAGGGTTGTTCCCTTTGTCTGACTTCTTATGACATCGATTTTTAAAGAGCTAGAGTAGTTTCATATCATATACGCTTTTATCAAATGTTTATTGTTGGAAATAAAAACAGATGAATGGGAAGGAAGGAAGAAATGAGGGGAAACAAAGAAGGAAGGGAAGAAGGGAAGGAGGGAGAAAGGACATTATCACAAAATGTCTTCACTCAGAAACGTCTACTATAAACATGTGGTGCATACCCTTGCACACATTACTAAATAGCATACATACACTTGTGTGTGTGTACATTATAGGCATGACATAAAATGGGATTGCACTATTAATAAACGGCATTCAAAAGTTCTGTGGGATGAGGATCTGCCCATGAAGAGACACTAGCTTGGGTAAGGCAGGGAAATGCATGTATTGACTTCTACTGGGTATCAGGCTCCGTGCTAGCCTGCTTCAAGCCTCTTACCTTGTTTAACCTTCACACCAACCTGGAAAGAGGTGAGGAAAAGAAATCTCAGAAAAATTAAAGTGTCTTCCCTAAATTCACAAGCAGTCAGTGGTGTAGTCAGGACGTGGGCCCAGGAAGCAAAATCCGAGTATTGACATTTCTTCCCGGGCTACAGTTCATGCATGTAGAAGCCACAGAAAACTTGGATAAAGAAAGAGAGTAAGTTTGTTCCTTAACTTTTGGCACCCCTCGCCAGCCCTATATAACTTAACTGGGAGGAATGTAACAATAGTGTGTGAAGCTCATTTAATAGTTTTGCTATAAGATAAATTAAGCAGACCAAGTATATGAACATAAAAAGGCATTTCCACATGCCTGCAAATATCAAAGCTCCTAAACTAGACATTACATTGGTAGTTATGTGCTCTGCAGCAACAAAATGCCCGAGATTAGAAATGCCAGCACAGTAGCAAAGGGAAAATTGGCTGTGTAGCTAAGAATCACATTCCTTCTGTATGTTTTCCTTGAAGCCACAATGGGCCCCAAAGATGGTAGAAGGGCCTGATTCCAATCTGGCAGGGAAGATGTGCCAATTGGTATCAGTCTGTCAAATCTGTCTTATAGAAGCCTGGATAGAGGCGGCTGAGGAGGAGGTGCTGTGTGTGCCCACGTGCATCTGAGGGTCACCTCCAGAAACATCTGCTGCTGATGTTCCACAATAGGCATGATGGGGATGAAATGAGGGCCAGCCCTGGCACTGTTTTACTTTTCTATGGGGCCAATTTGCATTGTAGCTGCCACAGGTTCTCTGGGGGCTCTCAGGAACGTGTGGCCTTTACAGTCCAATTTGGCTCTGTTGTGCTCAGTGAGGGATGAGAGTTGTACTTAGTTTAATGCCTCAACACGAGGCATATAATGTGCATAGGCACCTGTAAGGGGCCGGGCTGCTGTGCCAGGGATGTGGGGAAGACAGGCTGCACACAGCTAGGCAGACTTGGGGGTGAGGGGTTGGCTCTCAGCATGGAAGGCATGCTAGTCCACGAGGGCTCACGTGGGCACCCATGGAAACACCTGACACTTGCTCTCCTTAGGAAATGTCCTTCAGAAAAGTGACACTGATGGTGTGATCTTCACTGCAAAGTGGGACAGAGACAAATTCCATTAGGAAAGCCAATGAGAGGGAACTCATCGTTTCAATGTGTAGGCTGCCCAGCTCTTTCACACTATGGAACCTACCCAATCTGCAACACTGGATTCTTGGTGGTCAGAGAAATATACTTCGTTATTTCCTTAACTGCAGAAGGGTCATTTCCCACCTCTTCTCTCCATCCTGAGAGTAAGTAAGGCTCTACCTAGCTCTGGTTCATGGTACAGCTCTAGGGCCCAGCACGTTACATGCACTAGGAACATACCCTGTTTGACACAAAAGAAGCACCAGCTCTCTGGGGTCCACTGATTCTCTTCATAGAGATACTTATTTCTAGTCTAAACACACACACACACACACACACACACACACACACATTCTGGGTACCTGGTGTTTTTCCTTGCATTGGGGATAGAACAAAGAAAAATACACAGTCCCTGTCCCCAAGGGGTTTACCTTCTGTGAGATAGAGACACATAAAAAAGAAAATGTATGCATGTTCCACAAGAATCTCGGAGGACAGAAAGAAGACATAAGTACTCTGGGGGCTAGAAGAATGCTTCCTGAAAGAGATGCCATCTGAGCTCATTCCTGAGGGATGAGAAAGAATCGTCAAGGAGAAAACGGATAGAAAGGCTATGATAGGCAAAATTAACAACTGAGCAAAGACTCAGAGGTGTGAGAAAGGTGGTAAGTAAGAAGAACTCTAGGCAGTTCTTTCCAGAGTGTGAAGTACCAACAGGGGTTGGGGGGCGGGGGTGGGACGTCGAGGTAAGGAGGGATCAGGTTATAGAAAGCTTTGTGTGACAAGTGTGCCCGGGTAGCTCAGTCAGTTAGGCAACTGACTCTTAGTTTCAGCTCAGGTCATGACCTCAGGGTCCTGAGAACGAGCCCCGCATTGGGTTCCTCTCTCATTGCGGAGTCTGCTTGTCCCTCTCCCTCTGTTCCTCCCCCCCCCACTCACGCTCTCTGTCTCTAAAATAAATAAATAAATAAAATCTTTTTTAAAAAAGCTTTGTGTGACGAGAAACACTCAAAAGGAATAATAAAGTGTATTTTACATTAACCTACCTGCTGTCTGTATGGAGGGTTTTAGGATGGAAGGCTGAGGTTAGTCAAGATGGGACAGGAGACAGGAGACCAGAGAGTAAGGGGAGAGCTAGTGAGGAATAGGACTCTATCACTGGTGGTGGGGGGACGGAGCTAGAAAGACATAGCAGAGAGGAAATACAATTGGGATACCGAATGGGAACAACTTGGTGAGAAATAAGGTCTTAGGATTCTGGCCTGCATCTGATGGAACAAAGTATGTGCATGGACACATGGACACACACACACACACACACACACACACACACACACACACACGGCTGGGTTCATCAGTCTACCCGAAAAGGAGCTACAGACCACTGACTCGGGGGCTTATCTTCATGTAGCTCCCAACTCATGGGAGGGGCAGTGTGTGGGGTCCCATCAGAGGAGCGGAAGGTCATGGGACCCAGGAATCCGGCCACAGGAGCATAGAGGAGGAGGCCGAGTGACGTCAAAGGTAGAACCCCACTCAGGAATGGCAGCTACTCTGCTGGTTCTGCTGGCCCTGAGGTTTCTTTTGTGTAAGTGAGCAGCCTCCTGTGGTGGAATGCAACTGGCGGGATCAATATTAAAATAAAAGGTGGGGAAGGCAAGAGAGGAAGAAAACAGAAGCTCAAGTCCATAGAGGTAGGGAAGATTGATCAATGGCCTCAGGAACAATCCATACTAATTATGGTGATAAAAAGCTGTCAGTCAATACTCTGGATATTAAATTTCGTGGGTTGGAGACAACAGGTCTGTTTTCCTTCCCCCCACCATTTTATTTATTGAAACACTCAGATACAAATGAGCATTCAGTGCTAAGATAACATTATTGTTTCACCTGCTTTGAACTGCAAATGCTTTGATAACTGGATTGAAAAAGCTGTCAAATTTCCTTCTGTAGTTTCTGTGCAGACGTCTTCCTTCAGCATCGGATGAAATTCCATTTTGTAAAATCTGACAGTGATACTCTTCATTAAATCACAGCTGATAGCTCACCTCCCGTATCTCCACCCGGCTCACCAGTCTGCACACGTCTGTGAGGGGGCGGGGTGGGCGTGAACGCTCCAAGGGAAGAAAGGAGGGGATTCCCTCAGCACAAAGAGAATGAAGCTAACCCAAGGCAGCCACAGCCGCCTCCCTTTTGCGGGAGAAAGTTGTGCTTCTATGAATGCAGCCATTCAAGTCAGTTGGTGCCCACATGCCTGGGCAACAGGAAATGAGGCAATGCAGTCATAAGAAGTTAGTGGAGATCCCTTGCCCCCCGCACCCCGTTTGGTACATTGTAGTTGAACCGTCACAGAAGCATGTCCTCGTGGGTGCAGCTCAAAGGAGGCTGGCGTCATACCAACTCAATCTCCTCTACTATTTGGGCCACCTCACCCCCTCATCCCCTGACTCACTCCCTGCCTGACCCTGACTGCAGCATTGTGAGTGTCGGCTAACCTACTTCTAAATCAATCCCCTCTCTGGGACAATGAGATCAAATGCATACTTTTTCAATGACGCCCATCAATACTATAGAAAGGTACTAAATAAACCCCGTTTGGGTCCACCGATTGCTTCCAAGAGTGATGGGGATAAAGCCGTGGGTGTGGTTATCAACCAGGAGGCTCTCATTTGGAAAACTTCTTTTATTACATTAAATGTGTGCCAACACAGGCAGAGAAATGAAGAAACATCTGTCATAATATCCCAAGTGCTTTCTTTTTTTTTTTTTTTTTTTTTAATTTGGAGTCCTAGTCTCCCCGAGGCGGCCTCTGTTACCAGTTCAGTCCAGTGGCTCGGAAGCAGCAGCTCCAGTGGAGGGGAGTAGGACCCAGGTTAGTTAGTGCAACATGAGTGCAGGGGGAAAAGAGGGAGGGGGCTGGTGAAGTAGGCACGGCGAGAGCTGGTGGTTATGATTGTACACTTCCAACTGCTTCAGCATGGGAACCCAGACCAGTGCACCAAGCACCAGGGGTTTTTACTCATACTCTTTATATGAGAAAGCAGCTGTCTCCACAAAGGGCAACTCGTTGATGTCTCAGCCTGAGTTCCTCTCCTTGGAGTGGGTATCCCTCAGTGACAGGGTTCAGTACGTGGCAGGCACGGAGCTACTGAGAAAAATTCATAGACGTGGATTTAACAAGCTCTGCCCCTGATAAGCTACCCCAGACAAGTCACTCCACCTTTTTGGTCCTTAATCCTTAACTTTAAAATTTAGAAACTGGGCTGGATCACTGTTTTGCAGTCTTCATGTTGTCAATCCATAGTGGGTCATGAAGGCAACTGGATGATTTTTAACTAGCAGGTATTTTTTTTTTTTTAATGAAATGAATAGGAGAGAATAGAAAATAGCACAGTTTATTGAACATTATAATAAGTTGTATGTCACGAAATTAAAAAACATACCTGAAAGTCACTGGATTAAAAGAGCTCTAAGATTCCTTCCAAATGGAACAAAATATGATTTGATTATGCTGAATCTCAGCGGACCACCAACAGCCAGCTTGCAGCCTAACAGCCGGCTCAGGAGAGAGTTCCATGCTCTGTTCCCTGGTCAGCAGAGCTTTTTCCCCCTTTATCTTTCATTTACAATTTGATTTTACAATGTTGCTACAATTTCAGTTTCGATAACACGGAGTTAATTAAGACATGATCTCTAAAAGGCAGGTTGTTACAAGGAGATAAGCAGCAGCTTCTGCAGGCCGTAAACATCTGGTGCTCCTGACCAGCTTCTGGGGATTTGCTGCTTTTATAAAGAAGACAAAACTATCGTTCTGACTAAATATAAACATAAAGTTCACGTGAATAGTTAGCAGATCCTTCGGACATTGCTCTGGTTGTGATCAAAACAGTTGGGACTGCAGGAGAGCAGAGCTCCATGTACAAGTTGCACAGGTTGTTTGCTGCACAAAAGAGTCTGGCAAAGGGGTACACGAAGGGCTAAAATTCAGATATGACCCCAAGTTGGGGTTACATCTCCTGATCTAATCTGCACAAAGATGCTATAGGTTTAACAAGCCTTGCACTTGTGGGCTATGTTAGCCCACTAGGGCATGTTTTCTACTTCTTAAAAGGTACCATATAGGCTAGCTGTCACCTGTGGCTAGAACTGAAATCGAAGATTGAAAAGCCACAGCCAAAGTAATAGCATTAGTTAGAAAAGGGCCATCTTCTGGGAACAGCTGAGGCGTGTGGTCTGGAGCGCAAGTCTCAGTAATTCTAGCATCTGGGTAGCAAGTACAGCCCACGAAGAGAATTTCTAATCCTCTAGTTCATCATGCACAGAGGTGGCCCTCTTTAAAAGAAAGGAACAGACACTGGAAACTTCAGAATGGATGACCTAATGGAGGTGGTTGTGATGGCAAAGAATCTTTGCACCAAATAGTCTCCGTAGGAGTCCTTAAAATAATGGACCACCTCTTTGCATTTAAGACGTTATTTGATTTCTTATAAATGAGTCACAATTTAGGGGAGAAGAGATTAATTGCATAAATTAATGCATGTTCTTTCACCCACA